TAAATAAATAAATAAATAAATAAATCTAAGAATGTAGGTATACAGTAAGGTTCTTAAAATTTCTTAAAAGAGTGATTCAGTGGCCTATAAATGATTGGCTAGCTTCTTTTAGGAAAATAAATACTATTTCAGTAAAAATTAAAAATGAACATGGACAAAATTTATATTGTTCAAGGGCAGCAGTTTATGTACTTATTTTTAAGACAGGGTCTTACTATGTAGTTCAGTGTGACCCCAACTCATGGCGATCCTCCTGCCTCAGCCTCCAGAGTGCTGGGATTACAGGTGTGTGCCACCATGCCTGGCTAAGTAAATTGGCTTATATTGTACAGAAGTAGACCTAGTTTAGAATTTGAAATGCACTGTTATATGTGTTCTACATGTTAAAATAAAATTTCTCATTTTTGCCTTTTTGAGACAGGGTTTCCCTATGCAGTTCAGGCTGGCCTTGAACTTACTTTGTAGCCCAGGTGGGCCTCCTGCTGCCTCAGCCTTCCGAGTGCTGGGATTACAAGTTTGCGCCACCACTCCCGGCAAAATAAAATGTTGTTGACATTCATACATTGTCATGATATTGTGTAATAATGTGTACATTAAATATTTTTGTTGGTTTTAACATTAATTATGAAACTAAAGAGTAAAGCATTATATAGGTATCAGGCATTTTAAAGCTAAGTTTTAGCTTTTTAAATATTAATCTGAGATTGGCAAGTATAGTAATAATTAGTCTTCTTGCCTATCAGTAAAAGAATAAAAAGTAAGGCTATAATAGGCTAAACAATTAATTATTAAACTGAGCACCTGGCAAACTTTTCAGTCATCTATCTGTAGGACATTTTAAATCATAACGCTTCACTACAGTAAGGGCAGAAATAGATTGGATAACATTCTGGAACCACTTTTTTAGTGCTGTTTTTCTTGAAAATAACGCTACACTAGCCCACTGAAGATTTTAGAACACTTACGAACAACTAGAATAAAATAAAATGGAGAGTATCTTTTAGAAATAATAAAGGAAGCCAACCACAGTTGCACACACCTATAATCCAAGCACTGTGGGACACTGAAGCAGGAGGGGATCCCAAGTTTAAGCCCAGCCTGAGTGACTTAGTCCCCATCTCAAAATTTTTAAAAAGGCTGGGCATAGTGGTACACACCTGTAACCTCAGCACTTGCCTAAAACCCCAGCATTTGGGAGTCTGAGGCAGGAGAATCGCCAGAAGTTGGAGGCCAGCCTGAACTACATAGTAAGACCTTGTATCAAAAAGAAACAAAAATAGTTTTTTTTTTTTTTTAAAGAAACGGCTGCAGATATAGCACGGGGCAGAGGCTCTGGATTTAAGCCCTAGGACAAAAAAGTAATAAACCTTTTTCCCAGAGGAAAATGCATAACCTTAAATACTCAAATTATGAAATGTAATTTAAAATAACCATTTAATTTGAGAAATTAGAAATGAGAGTATGAGAAAGGTAATAAAGAGGAAAAGCAAATTTAAGAACTAAAATATAATAATAAAATTGACCATTGAAGGGCTCGTTCATTGAGGGTGGCGGAAGTGGGAATTAGATAAACTAGTTACCTGTTTAAGAAAAAGGGAACATAAATAAATACACATGGTTAGGGATAATTTTTTAAAACAACAACTGCTGTATAAGACTATATAATTAAGCCAGATTTTTTTTTTTTTTTTTAAGAAATCCAGGTATCCAAGTTGACTCCAGAAGAGGGAATCTAACAGACCAGTAGCAATGGAAGAAATTGAGAAAGTTAGCAAACAGCTGTCATTCCCTACAATGCAAGGATCAGCTAGTGTCACAGGTAAATCTTTTAACATTTTCACAGAACTTCTAATTTTGATAAATTCTAAATTGTTCCCTGGCACCAGGAAGGGAAAGTCACACATTCTCTTTACAAAGCCAGTAAAACACTGACACTCGAACTTGGGGTGAAGATAGTACCAGACCTGATCTGTATGAATAGTAATGTGACATTTTAAAATAAAATAGCAAATGGTAGGCTGGTGTGTAGCTCAGTGTTAGAGGACTTAGCTAGCATGTATCATACCATCAAAAGAATTTTTTGAAGACAAGTCTAGTGGTGCACAGCTGTAATACAAGCCCTCCAGGAGGCTGAGACAGGAGGGTTACAACGAGTATAAGCCTGGTGTGAGCAACTTAGTGACTCCTTGTCTCAAAATAAAAAAAGAGCTGAGGGTGTGGCTCAGTGTGAAGGCTCTGAATTCAATCTCCAGTGTTTAGCTACCAATATTTGTTTTTGGATCTGCAGCATCAAAAAATGTTTTGCAAATGTTATTTAGCAGTATTTGAAACCAAATATTTCAGCTGGACATGTTAGTGTATATCAGGTGCTCAGACTGAAGCAGAAGGAACGCTTAAGTCCAGCCTAGTTAACTAAATGAAACCTTATCTCAAAAAATAAAATAAATAAAAATCCACCAAGGCCAAGTGAGATTCAGCCCGTAATACGGGAGTGAATGATTACGTGATATACATAGGCTCTGACTCATGATGGTTCAATTTAGATGTTTTGACACATGTTACCCCCCTCACTCTGAGGATGAACCCAGGGCCTTGCTCTGCCACTAATCTTCAACCCCTGCCCTTGTTCCTTATTTTGATTTTTTTGTTTTTGTTTTGAAGTCGAACCTCACTGTTGCCCAGGCTGGTCTTGAGCTGCTGCTATGCTCAGGTGAGCTTCTGCCTCAGCCTCCCAAGTGCCAGGATAACAGGTGTGCACCTTCAGGCCTGCCTCTATTTTGATATTTATATTTTCTTTCAGTACTGGCGATTGAATCCAGGGTCTTTGTACATACCCAACCCTTTTTTCGTTTTTTATTTTGAGATAGGGTCTTTCTGGGCTGTGGATTTAGCTCAGTGGCACAGCACCTGCCTGGCAAGCGTGAGGTCATGAGTTCGATTCCCGGTACTGAAAAAGAAAAATGAAAAAAAAAAAAAAAAGAGAGATAGGGTCTTTCTGAGGAGTCCAGGCTGGACTCAGACTTGTGATCCTTACCCCTGAGCCTCCCAGAGTGCTGTTACTAGCATGCGCCATGGTGCCTGGCTTGTCTTGGCTTTTTAATGATGTGAAGTGATGCATTCAGTAAAAACTGTACTTCAGAATTTGAACTTTGATCTATTCCTGGTAAGAGGAAAGAAGCTAGGAAGATGAAAAGCAGGGGCTGGAAGCCTCAGCTCCCAGTCAGCCATGTAGTCACGAGTGTGTTGTTAAGCTATGATGATCAGTAAGTTATATGTGATAAATACATTTTGAGGGACTGAGAGTGTAGCTTAGAGCTACACTCTAAGAGCTACACTCTAAGACTCTGTAGAGCGTCTTTAGCATGCATGTGGCCCTGGATTCGGCCCTCGGCACCAAAAACCTAAATGCCTACTATATTTTCAACATATAGTGGGTTTATTCACATCTAACCAAATCATAAGTAGAGGACTCTTTGGTGCACTAGATACTTAAAAAAGAACAATAGCGGTAGTTCAGCCTTGTTCGGTAGTCAGTATACTCCAGACTACTCTCCTAGGTGCTTTTTGTGTACTATTAACTCCATGAGTTGAGGCAGCCTATGAGGTAGATAACTTCCCTCTTTTATAAAAGAGGAAACTAAAACACAGAGACATTGAATACTTGTCAAAGGTCACAGAGTAGATGTGTGGTAGAGGTAGGATTTGAACCCAGGCAACAGGCAGTAGGTCCTAGGGGCTCTTAACGTGTTACATAGGCTCTCATCTCTTGTAGCTATATAATCATTTCAGTAGCTACTTGAAAGCATTTGAGTACAGTTCAAGATCAACTCCTGATGGGTGGTGATGGGAAGGGGGAGTAGAGGTGGTTGAACTTTAATAAACAGTAATAAATGTATTGTTATGCTTAAAAGCTCTATGAAATCCTTAGTGGTTGACCAGTTGTACTCAAAAAATGGAATCCATGTTTAATGGGAAAGAATTTTGTAGTAAATAGTAAGGGCAACAGTTGAAGTTACAATGGAAAGTATATGAATTTTTGAATGTGCTATGTAGTTTGGGGTTTTCTTTAACTTTGGATTAGGGATTAAATCCAGGCATGCTCTACCACTGAGCCACATCCCTGGCTACTCCCTCCCTTTTTTTCTTTTTTGAAACAGGCCTCATTAAGTTGCCTAGGCTGGCCATGAGTTTACAGTCCTTCTGCCTCAGTCTCCTGAGTAATTGGGATTGCAGACATGTGCCACATGCTTGGCTATATTTGGGGTTTTATAGCATAATTTGTAGCAGATAAAATGTGTTATGACTTGTGTCTGGATGTCCCCCCAAAGCCTTATGCAGTCTTGGGGGAGTGCTTTTCAGAGGCAGCTGAATCTAAAGTTTGTGATTGATTCATTGTCTAGTATTGGGATTATGGGTGTGAGTGCTATACCCACCCTAGGGTGGATAGCCCACATACAGTACAAGGCAGGGAAGGAGGCTTGCTCCTTTGCTCCTCTGCTCCTCTGCTCCTCTGCCCTTCTCCTGTTGCTATTGGTATTTTCTGCTGTCATGATCAGTTGTCTCTCTGCCACGCCACCCTACCTTGGAGCCAACTGACTGTGGACTGAAACCTCCACAAAGTGTGAGCTAAATAAACCTTCTTTAATTTTGAGCATTGGGTATTTTGTCTTAGCAGTGAGAGAAAAGTAACCAAGACAAAATGATATGACAAACCTGGGCTTTGGTTATGTACATCTGTAGTCCCAGTACTAGGGCAGGAGTATTGCAGTGAGTTTGAGGCATGCTTTGGCTCCAGAGTGGATTCAAGACCAGTTTGACTCCAAAGTGAGACCCTGTCCTAGAAAAATCACAAATAATCCAGGCATCGTGGATTCCACACTGGGGAGGCTGAGGCAGGGGGATTGCCAGAAGTTTGAGGCCAGCCTAGACTACATATGTCTCAAAAAAAAAAAAAGGGAACCACAAACAGTGGCAGCACTGAAAAGATGTTCTTAATGTTTGCAACGTAGTCCTAAAGGTGGACAGGGAGAGGTGGAAAACAGGCACACTTGCACAGGAACAGATCAATGTGTGTCAGTTGACCAGCAAACTTTTTTCACATCATGGTAATTGTTGCCCTGTGTAAACTTGAAACTGCCAGGACTTGCAGGTGATAAACACTTAGATGACAAAACTTATTTTGCAAACCAAAAGCCAGTGTCATGTTTATGGTAATTCCTAAGGGTGTCCCCCAAAATGTCAAGAAAAATATAAAAAATGTCCACTTTTACCTTAATTCTGCTCAGGAAATATTTGTATGTACGACAAGGTAGAAAAAAAGAAAGATATGTATTATAAAAGAGAAGTCAAAATTATTTGCAGTTTATTTTGTTTGGTTTTGGTTTTGGTTTTTTGAGACAGGGTCTTGTTATGTAGCCCAGGCTGGCCTTGAACTCATGGTGATACTCCTCCTGAGTGCTGAGATTACAGTGCAGTCATATTTTGTATTACAGAAACCAGAACAATTCTTCAAAAAAAAATGAGAAATAGAAAATTGGAAAGGTTGGGTGATTCTAACCTTAAGATACAAGAATTGGTAGCTGTTTATATTTCCAGAAACAGTAGGAAAATTAATAGAAGGAAATAAACTTAATAATAGTGCCCAGAAAGGTAAGATGCCTAGGTATAATAGTAGTCAAGATTTGTAGAAAGAGCCAGGTGTAGTGGCGCACACCTGTAATCCCAGCACTCTGGAGGCTGAGAGAGGAGCATTGCTGTGAGTTTGAGGCCAGCCTGAGCTAATAGCAAAATCCTGTCTCAAAAAAACCATCTATCGGGGCTGGGGATATAGCTCAGTGGCATAAGTGCCTGCCTGGCAAGCGCAAGGTCGTGAGTTCGATCCCTGGTACCGCAAAAAAACCCAAAAAAAACAAAAAACCATCTATCAATCAAGCTAATGTATATTCTTAAAAAAGATAGGAAGAATAATGTAAATGCTATAAAGTATGTAAAACAATGTGAGCGAATAGAAAGACATTATATCCTTATTAGATTCTGCTTTGAAAAGGTGACAGTTTTAAAGCTCTGTCCTGAAAGTCACTTCTTCTGTAAAATGCCAACAGAGTTTTGGGTGAAATATGACAAAAATATACTAAAGTTAACCTGAGAAAAGTTGAGTTCCTTTTTTATTTTGAATGTTTTTGCATATCTTATGCAAATATTTTCCTAAGGTATAGTTTTAAAGGCAAAGTTATGTTTGTATTGTGTATGTTCTCTTTTATGTTACGTATCTGGCTCCTCCAGATGTCTGCTTCTCAAAAACTTAAGCTTTCTGATTCTTCATTCTGCATTTTTTTTTTTGTATATATTTACGTGTTGTCTCCAGATAAAGGTGATTTCCAGCACCAGTCTTGGAATGTAGGAGTTGCTCTGAATAATTCAACTGTTTGAATCTTTTTGGGGGGAAAATCAAATTATATGACTGAAGGGAAAGAGCTTGCAACTTACGGAAACAGATGTCATACAGGGGTAGGACTTTGTGTTAGTTCCACTCCATGAGCTAGTCCGTGCTTTTAGACTTCACGTCTTCATCCACAGTATCTGATACACCTGCCTCTTATCCCAGGGCAGCTTCCCAGAGTCCTTGCCACCTGTGATTTGGTAACAGGGCTATGAACCTTGGAGTCAGACAGACTTCATCTCAGAATGCTGGCTCCCACAGTTTACTAGGTATATCTTAGACAGTAGAGAATATTCGTTTTTTTGTGGGCATTTTTTTAACTGGGAAAATAATAGTTTACAGAGTTGTAAGAATTTCAGTGTGTCAAAGCATAGTGCATAGCATGTACTCCAGGCATTCCTTGATTGCATTCTCTCATACCTCTTCACCTTCCGTAATGTCCCTACCTGTGAGCCCACAGCATATAAGTTGTAAATAATGATTTTTTAATACTGATAAACCCTTGACATGTTCATGTGCCATATTTTCATGAAAAATTACTATTTCTAGTCCTTTCCTCCAAGTTTTTAAAATGAGACATATGTTTTACAGTTTTTGAAGCTTTTCTTTCTGTGTCTGGCTTAAAAGATAGGTGGGTCTTATATCCACTGCTGCATTCAGTCTGTTGTAATAAGTTGTTCTGGTGGAAATAGATGCAGAAAATCTAGCCTGCCATAGGCGTGTAGTTGAAAAAGGATGGACTTGTGAGACTTCCTCCAAGGGTCTTCTGAAAATACATTAAGAACCAGTGACTAGTTCTGTGGGCATGTGTGGAAGTATCATCCTGAAGCCCATTAATATGCTCAATTAATGTGTTAACAGAAAATACAGTTTTTTTAAAATTCAAAACTACTAATCCACTGTAAAAGGGAAAACAGTGTCCAAAGACTGGAGAAGGGATGGGGAAAGTTCCATGTTTGGCTTTCTGTAAATAATCCTTTGTCATTTATTTGCAGGTTTAAAAAATCCTTCATGAGCAGGAAAGATCAGAAGCAACATGATGGGTTCAGAAGCTCATGAAAAGAGGCCACCAATCCTAACATCTTCGAAGCAAGACATATCACCCCACATTACCAGTGTGGGTGAAATGAAGCATTACTTGTGTGGCTGCTGCGCAGCTTTCACCAATATAGCGATCACATTTCCCATTCAGAAGGTCCTCTTTCGGCAGCAGCTTTATGGGATCAAAACCCGGGATGCAGTACTGCAGTTGAGGAGGGATGGATTTCGAAACTTGTATCGTGGAATCCTTCCCCCATTAATGCAGAAAACAACTACCCTGGCACTTATGTTTGGTCTGTATGAGGATTTATCTTGCCTTCTCCATAAGCACGTGAGTGCTCCAGAGTTTGCAACCCGTGGTGTGGCGGCAATACTTGCAGGGACGACAGAAGCCATTTTCACTCCACTGGAAAGAGTTCAGACATTGCTTCAAGACCACAAGCATCATGACAAATTTACAAACACTTATCAGGCCTTCCGGGCGCTGAAATGCCATGGAATCCGAGAGTATTATCGAGGTTTGGTGCCCATTCTTTTCCGTAATGGATTCAGCAATGTTCTTTTTTTTGGCCTTCGAGGTCCCATTAAGGAGCATCTCCCTACTGCGACAACTCACAGTGCTCATTTGGTTAATGACTTCATCTGTGGAGGTGTATTGGGTGCCATGTTGGGGTTCTTGTTTTTTCCAGTTAATGTTGTAAAAACTCGCATACAGTCTCAGATTGGTGGGGAGTTTCTGTCTTTCTCCAAGGTTTTCAAAACAATCTGGCTAGAACGGGAGAGGAAGCTGACAAATCTCTTCAGGGGAGCCCATCTGAATTATCATCGGTCCCTCATCTCTTGGGGAATAATCAATGCGACTTATGAGTTCTTGTTAAAGATAATATGAAAACGTCACCAGTGAAGTGCCGTGTATCAACTAAATAGACTTGAGAAAAATTCATTTTGGCTTTGGTTTGAATTGGCCCCAGTACAAGTAGGTGGTGTTGAGTCCAGGCTACAGTGAATCATGGGCAGAGCTGTTTCCCATGAGTATCAACAAAAACAGAATAAAAGGTTTCAGTAGGAAATTTTCAAATTTCCTTTTCTTTTGTTTTTAATTTTTTTATATTTATCCAAGAGCTTTAGGCTAACTGCTGGTAAATAGCTGTCTCTCTGATGGTCTTTCACAGGATATCCTAATAGCCAGGATGATTCCTTTTCCCAAAACAGCCTTTAAGCCTTTTATATTGAAGCATAAAATGGCCATAACCAGCCAGGAAAGATGCTCTTGGGCCCCCAGGACTTCTCAGGCTTACTTTGTTACTCCACTTCTTTGCTCTCGGGAGCAGTTGGAAAGGGGAGTCTTCGTGACACTCAAGCATATATGTGGCAGGACACGGGCAGAACAGAAAAGAAAAACAGCTTATTGGATCATGCTGAAATTGTTGGTGTTAGTTTTGAAATTAAGCACCTGTTGGGATAGTCATAGTCCATACTTTTCTGTTTAGATGAGGTAGTTGGAATCATGCAACTAATGAAATTTTAATCTTGCTTTCTACCTTTGTTTCATTCTGAATGTGACCGTAAGCCCTTCGAAAATACCTTTACATTAATTTTACTGATTTCGTTGCCAAAAGTGGGAGAATTTAAAATTTTTATAGGTGTTTCATCCTGTTAAGAAGCTGTTAATTACATATATTCCTATTCTGTCTGGCTTGGTTTCTTTGAATTTTTAGCATCAACTTAGCAGAGGGCTTTGGGGGCTTTTTCCCCCAAGTAGTAATTTGTCATATTTGAGCATTCTATTTTCTTGAAGTTATAGTTTAAAAAAATAAACACTTCTGTAAGTTTTATTTTAGGAGTCTGTTAATACCCCAGGTTCCCCCTCTCCCTCTTTCTGGTTTCTAAATGTTACATGGGAAGAGGGGAAAAAGCTCAGCACACTTGTCCCACAGTGTTGGCTATCTTTATTTTATTCTTGGAAATGGACACTCCTTTAAGATTTGACATTTGGGGAACCCAGTTTTATTGTGTCATTAAAGCTAGCTAGTTTAAGAGCATATGATCTAAATAAAAGCATTTGAAGGGTTATATTAAATTCTAGAGGTTGGTGTTAGCTAGATAGCCTACTCGTCCCTTATAGGCTTATAGACAAAACTTCTCATGGGATCAGGGAATATTTGAATTTTTTTCCCAGATTGGTGAAGCGAAATGACTCAGAGCAGTTGAATAACTAATGAAATACAGGAAACATCCTAGAGAAATGGTTGATATGTCTTTTAAAAAATATCTCTGTAAATACTAATGTACCTAAGATTGCTCCTTCTAACAAGAAAGATTTTTTTTTTTTTTGTAGTTCCAAGGATTGAACCCAGGGCCCCACTTATGCTAGGCCAGTGCCCTACCACTGGGCCATGCCCTAGCCATCTCCCTTGTCCCTTCTTTTTTTTTTTTTTTTTAGGCACGGTGCTGCTGAGCTAAATCCCCAGCCCCCCCCCCTTGTCCCTTCTTAAAGATGTTTCTTGTTAACTTTTTTTTTTTTTTTTCCATTTTTCTGGGTAATTGCAGGGGAATTTGTGCATATGCCAACCAAAAAATCAGGGCCTCAAATAGTTGTTTACTCAAGTTTCTGGACAGATAGTCCCAAACAGCTGTTTACCTCAAAATGCACTATGGCTGTCTCAATAAAATGAACGTCCTTTTTCCAGCTGTAAAGGGTTAAGGATCATAGTAAGCATTAGCAAGGTAAGAATGGAGTGAGCACCTTCCCAGCAGTTCTGCTTGACAATTTTGTGCTAGGTATAGCAGTTTAGAGATCAAGGTGCAGATGTGAGGATTTCAGAAAACAAGTTGACACCAAGTGAAATTGAGTAGTGTTCTTTGGCCTGTTGAATTGGGACTTGAAGGGAGTGGCAGAAATGAATGAAGATGGCACCTGCATTCCTGGCCCCCTCATTCACGCGTGGCGCTCTGAGCACCTGCGGGCGCAGGGAGGCCGGTGCCAGCACAGCATGGGGGAGTTAGGAGCCACACCTTTGCCCTGGGCATGGACTCCATTGGCCTTCAGTTCTCTGGGGCTTGCTTTTGTCTACACTCCATACAGGTTTTACTTGTAAAGCACTTTGGTGAAAATTGTAAGGAAAGTGCTTTGGTATTTGCCCCATCAAAGGATATGTGGCGTTTTGAAACAGTTAATATATTTTAATGGCTTTCAATTCATTCTTTTTTGGGGGGTACCAGGAATCGAACTCAGGACCTTGTGCTTGCCAGGCAGGCCCTTGTGCCACTGAGCTATATCCCCAGCCCTTAATTCATTCTTAAATTTGTCACTTTTTACTGTTCTTGAAGACCAAACTGCAAACACATTGCCAGAGATGATTTTGTATTGTGTTATAGACTTAATTTGACAAAATAATCAGAATTTGTAGCCAACAGTTTTATCTGAACTTCAAGTCAGAATGTGTAATAAGTAAGAAATTCTGTTGTTTTTACCATCAGCGTGCACTAGCATGGTAATAATTTATAAAAGGCAAATAGGATTGAATAAGTCTGAAAAGCTTTAAAGTGGTCTGTTACATACGTGGCACAGATACAGCTCATGTGCGTAAGTCCAGGTCTTGTGTCCTAGGCTTCATGTCTGATGCCACCAGAAATGTCACAAATGCTGTATTAACACACTTTTGGAGTGATACGATCCCTGAGGACTGCACCACAAACACAGCCTTTACGTTGTAACTTCGTGTCTTACTTTTTTCCCCTGTGGTTGGGGATAAATTCGATGTTTTTTGTCTAAATAGTCACTATTCATCTTAACTTATGGTTGGTTATATATTTACCTGCTGTACATTGACCTGTGCAATAAAATAGAATTGTGTATATATAGTTGACTTTTGGATATCTGAAATTCCCAAGCTCAATTGCAGTGAGTATAAATGATCAGTATAAGATCGTGCAAACCTGTAAGGGGTAATAGTAGCAGGCAGGATGTGTGAAATGGGATCTAGAGGGCTCACTGTACAGAAGCCAATCTTGTTGCACTAACACTGGTGCTGTGGAGTGAAGTACTGTGGTGTGAGGGCTGTGCGGTCATAAAAGGAAGGCTCAGGAGATGACGCTGGGAGGAAGGCTGAGCGCTCAGACTTCTTTTTATATGAAGTACTTGTCTTCTCATGTACAAATGTGTATCAAAGACTTGAACATCATTCTCTCAAAATTTGAGGACTTTTAGTTTTAATGCTGTCTTCTTGTGTAGTAAATACTTGCCTAAATGGCTCAAGTTGTATGAGGATCTCTGTATGTTTCTTCTTTTGAAGTCTCATTAAAAGTCTGTTACCAAATGCAAAATTTTTGTTTGCTGTTTCAAGTTGTGTGACTGAATTTAAATGAAATCTCTTCAGTGTTTCAGCGTTAACATACTTTCTTGGGGTAACTGGAATAAAGTTTTTGTTTTTTTTTAACATTTCACTGAAAACATTTTATTGGCCTTTTGGATAGAAATGGGAATTTATTTGCCACAAAGGATGATCCCATCATATGCTGGAACCAGTGCATGACCACCTCTTTGCTGGTTGGGTTTGCCTCCAATGCAGCCTGCCCCACACTTCTTTTCTGCAAAGCTGCAGTCTGGCCTCAGCACCATGTAGAAGTCCATGCCATAAATACCAATGCTTGGGTCGTATTCGACATGCTGCTGGATCCCAGACCCCACAATTTCCAAGCCAGGTGTGGTGGCACATGCTTGTAATCCCAGCACTCAGGAGGCTGAGGCAGGAGAATTGCTGTGAGTTCAAGGCCAGCCTGAGCTACCCAAGTTCAAGGGCATCTTAGACTACATAGCAAGACCCTTCCTCAAAGTTTGCAGTGTTCATATGTTCACATCTTTAGACCTTTCTCTTTCCTTGGCCCTACAGAGTGTGCATTGGACAGCAGTCTTCCTTTCTCCTGAGGCCAAAGGGTCTGTCTGACAATGTATCTCTGGAAAATACAGGGGTCTGGCCTGTGAGCTGCTCCAACACTTTGGCTGCCCTGGTCAATGGCCAATCATCCCAACACAAACGTTGAGGGAGATCTTGCAGATGCAAACTTCCTATGTGGGGTTCTTCTGTGATCGCTCACTGCAGCCCGTGAGACGTGCCTGTGGGCCCTCCAGTTGGCTGCCAGAAGCCCGCTCCTAGGAGGACAGGAGGGGAAGTGACAAGGTCCAGCCCAGTGCCTTTGGCCAGCAGGGTCCTGCCAGTTTCAGCCTGGCCATCATTACAAGGACCGTGCTGCTCAGGCAGGACAGCCCTTGTGCTCCAAGTGACAGAGGACAGAGACACGGAAGCAAACCTCAGTCTCAAGCCCTGAAGTTTTGTCCATCCTATTTGATGTTTTGTGGCTGGGTAGTTTGTTATCACTGGCATTTTTCCTTTTTGTGTGACAGATTAGTCTATTAGTCCTTATTTGATAAGGCGGCACAGTATCTTGACCTTTAGCAATCCCTGGAGGACTTTGCAGGTAAGATAACTTACATGTCAGCTCTCAAATGTCCCTCCCTCAGACACTGGCTCACACTTTTTAAAAAATTAATTTTATTGATACACTTTTGACATACATAATGACACATTCATCATAGGGAATGTGTACCTGTACGTAATAGATCTTTTTCTCCCATTCCCCTCCCTTTCCTTCAGTCCTTCCTCTCTCTCTTTACAAACTTTGTCTCTACTGTTTTCTTTCCATTCCTTTTTATATTTTGTATCCCTACTCCCTTCCCTTCTCCCCTCCCCCTTCCTTGTTCCCCATTTGAACACGTCCTTCCTATTTCCCAGTATCTGTCCTCCATTATGCTCCTTATTTACCCACTGGATTTCTCACAAAGAGAAACAACACAATATTTAAACATGTATGTCTGATTTATCTCACTTAAGGTGCATCCATTTACCTAAAAATGACTCATTTATCCTTTATGGCAATGTTGGACTCCGTTGTATATAAAAAACCACATTTTCTTTATCCATTCATCCGCTGATGGGCACATGGGCTGTTTCCAAGGTTTAGCTACTATACATTGTGCTACTAAACATGGGTGTGTATATATTCCTGTGGTATGATGCTTCTAACTCTTGGAAAGATACCCAGAGGAGGAATAGCTAAGTCAAATAGAACCTCTGATTTTATTTTTTTTTTTTTTGAGGCCTCTCCATGCTGATTTCCATAGTGATTGTACCAATTTACACTCTCACCAGCAATGGAGAAGCGTTTCTTTTTCCTCACACCATCACCAGCATCTGTTATTGGTTGATTACTTTTTCTGGAGTGAGATGGAATCTCAGTGTTGTTTTAATTTTGCATTTATCAAATGGACTGGCTCATTCTTTCAGAACTAGATCGGGTTTCCCTGGTAGGGGTGCCTTGCCACCATGTTTCTATTTTCTATAGCACTTACCTGTTTTAATTATTATTTGATCTATTGCCCTTTTAGAGTGCCAATTCCATGTGGCAAAGACTGCTATAGTTCCTTCTATGTAGTGCCTGATAACATGGTAGATACTTGCTTAAAGGTAGCCTCCTCGCCTAGCATATTCTTGGAGGGACACATGGATATTCAGGATCATGACCTGTAATACCCTATTTGACCTTGATACAGATCAAGAATAAAGTAATTTTATACCAATTTCAAGGTACTAAGTTGTCTGTACTTGGGCAGCCATAACAAAATACCATAGACTAAGTGGCTTAAACAACAGGCATTTCTTACAGTTTAGAGGATGGGAGGCCCAAGATCAAGGTGCCAGTAGAGTTAGCGCCTGGTGAGGGTCCCCTTCCTGGTTTACAGAGGGCCTCCTTGCTATATCCTCACATGATACAGTAAGCGAGAGCTCTAATCTCTTCTGCTTCTTATAAGGTTAATGTCTTAGTCACTTTCTTGTCACTGGGACAAAATACCCACAATTTAAAGGAGCAGAGGCTTATTTCAGGTCATGTTTTTAGTTCACAGTTGGCCAGCTCCAAGGCAGGAAGGCATGGTGGAAGGGTCTGGTGAAGAGTTGCTCACATAATGGTGGCCAGGAAGCAGAGAGAGAAAAGAGGAACCAGGGATAGAGATGTGCCCTTTCAGGTCACGCCTCCCCCAGTGCCTCTCCCAACCAGGCCCTGCCTATGACCTGCAAGGCAAGAGCCCTGTCTACGAGTGCATGAGGCCTTTAGGGGACAGTCTCAATATAAATTATAACACCCCACCCCCTGAAAGTCTCATGCCAATCTCTTTATGAAAAATACATAACTACCACATTTGGCTTTAGGGCTTCAGCATACAAATTTGGGAAGAGGAACAAACAATCAGTATACAACATGAATTACATGAATGATGAGACTTCTTTATCCTCTTTTAGCTTCAAAACAGCTATCCTTTATTCTGAGAAACGGCCAGCCTATTTGAGATAAAACATTTGTGCCCGAGTCAGGAGTCAGGCATACAGTACTGTTTTTCATATCATTCCCGAATTGTGGAGCTCACTGAATAAAGATAACGGAGAAGGGTAATAAATAACCTTCATTTTTTAAATTTAAAACCTTTATTGATTCATGTTTTCTAGAAATACTGTACTTTTAAATAAATCACCAAAGGCCGAATACTTCTCTCTCCTCTCGATTCTTTTTTTTTTTTTTTTTGGTACCAAGAATCAAACTCAGGACCTCGTGCTTGCCAGGCAGGCGCTGTGCCACTGAGCTATCTCCCTGGCCCTTAATTTTTTTGTCTTGCTTTATTTTGCTTGGGGTGGGGTCTTGCTATGTAGTTATGTAGCTCAGGCCACCCTTCAGCTCACAGCATCTTCTGGCCTCAGCCTTTCAAGTGCTGGGATTACAGGTCCACACCGCCACGCCCTGCTCTCTTCTCAATTCTAAGCCCCTTTCCCCACCAAATATAATATTTATTTTCCAACTAATCAGTTTGTGACAGCTGTGATTCTCAAACCTTTTTTCCAAACACTAAAAATACAAGATCACTGCAGCGAACAGACCATATGTTGCAGTTTTAAAAAACCAAAACACAGGGAAAGCTTTACTCTAACGGTTCAAATCACCAATCATCTGGCTTCAGCTTTCTCTGACTGTAATGTCTTTGTTCACCAGCCCTGCACGCACAGGAGAGGTCCCCACAGACGTCCTCACATCACAGCTGCTGCAAACAGCGAGGAGGCCCTGCTGATGCGGTTCTACTCTTCCACAGGTACTTCCCGCACTGTCTTCATCGTCTTCATCTCTATCCTCGCAAGAGTCTTCACTGTTGGTGTCAATAAAATAATTCTTGTCCCCACTCTCTCTCTTCTACTTTTTCTTCATTAAAGCTTTCTTTATCTTCAGTGAGACTTTTCATCTCTTGACTGCTGAAGCACTCAAATGCTTTTCTACTTTTGCCTTTCTTTGAAACAAACTCATCAGATATTCCTAGTGCTTTTAGTTTGTTAGAATAATGCTTTTCTCAGCACCTGCCTGGTAAGTGCAAGGTCATGAGTTTGATTCCCGGTACGGGAAAACAAAACAAAACAAAAGAATAATGCTTTTCTGCTGCAGTTCTGGCATTTTTCTGAGAAACTCTTTCAAATAGTAGTGGCCTCATTTTTTTTCCGTTTCTTCTAGTTATCAGTATTCTCTCATCCCTTCCTTTTCTCTCTTTCTGAGATATTTTACTCTGGATTTAGACATCTGAACTAAACTTTGATGTGTATCATAAGCCTTAGCCCGGGTTGTCAGGAGTTTCTGCAGTTCTTTCATTCTTTGCTTCTGCTTAGTTAAGATCCGATTTCTTTCTTCTTCCAACATTTTCTTTTCCTCAAGTGATCTGATGGCTTGCTCCCCGTCTGCTGGAGGACGCTGTGGGCACGGGAGGCCTGCAGCCGCAAGACACGGGCTTCGCAATTGCATTTCTGCCTGATGACGTACGCCCCAGAGACAGATGAGGGCCACGGGTTTGTTTCAGATTTTCTTCACTTGACAAAACGTTCTCCTTCTCAGCACGTTTACTTGAGGGTACACGAAAATCAAGTGGTCTTCGGACTGCTGAGAGTTTTGGATACTAGTGTTCCGAGAAAAGTTTCTTACACTCCTCAGGAAGGTCTTCAGCATCAGGAATCTGGGACCCAGCCTGCTCAGGACACTTGGGGCTCCTGACATGCTTGTGAGGCAGAGGGGATGAGTTCTCTAAAAGCTGTTAGGCTCTTAGCTGTGTCCTAAGGTTTCTAAGGAGCTCTTCTTCTTTTAATTTGTCGCTGGTCGAGGTATGGGTCTGGCTTTAAACTGGTGGGTTTTCTTTTTACACTTCAGTCTCTCAGCTGCTTTTCCCGGCTGCCTGCTTCTGCTCCTCTCTCGCGACATGAAGGGCTTTTGTGAGGCCAAAAGGGTTTCTTTGTTCTCCTTCCTGGCCCTCCTCCATTCTTCATTTTGCTTAACGAGCTTATGATAAAGGGGAAGGAGGACACTCAGAGGAACGGGATTGGCTCGGAATTCCTTGTTACACTCAGACTCTTCTTCGTTTTTGGGCAGTTTCTGTACTACGGCAATATCTGGTTTAGATTTCA